GCCAGCCCTCAGGCTGTGCTGTGTAATGGGCAGTGTTGCTGAGATAGGACCAAGGGCAGAGAGGAAGCCCCAGGGGGTGGGCAGCCAGAGCAAGGAGAGTCAAAGCCGGCCTGGCCCCCTCAGCTCCTGCTTCAGAGGAGAACAGAGCACCCCAGCACAGCAGCCTCATAAACATGGAGCAGTGGTATCTTCAGCTCCTTGCATCCTGCCAGGGCCTGTCCCAGAACCTGACAGGGTATTTGCCCCATCGGATGGGGCGATAACCGTAGGGCTCGCTACCCAGCAAAACTGGGTGGACCTGGTTCAAATGGGGGACAGAGCCCTCCTCCTGGGCCCATCCTGGCTGCCGAACACCCACACCCAGCCCCAAGCTCCCAGCCCTTCCCTCAATTGTTAGTCTAGAGAAGGGGCCAGACAGACAGCGACTTGGCAACTTGGCGGCCCGGCCCTCGCCCCCAGCCTGGGGCTGCCCTGTGACGTTACAACTCCAAAGCCCTGCGGGTTTGCTTCTCGGCCCTCAGGCCAAGGTCAAGGGCAGACACCAGCGCAAAGGCTCTGGCCCTGGCAGTGACAGGCATTTAATGGGCCCTGGATGAACAGCTGGGGGGAAGGAAGAGAGGAAAATGCAAGGAATAGGGAGAAGGGCCTGCGGATGCCAGCCTGTCTGTCCACAATCAGCGCGGTGCCTGGGCACCGGCCAACCTCACTAGGTGGGGCCTGGGGCCGGCGGCAGGCGCCTTTCCCTCACCAGGAGGGGCTTACCTGGAGGGGGCACGCCGGAAGCCAGGCACTCCAACGTCACGGAGGCATTTTCCAGCACTGCCTTGTTGGCCGGGACCGGCTCGATGTTGGGGGGCACTAGGGGAGACAGGAAGCGCCCTCGTTTGGTGGGTAGCTCAGATCTCAGCCACCCCAACGTCTCTCCCCAGCCTTCCTGAAAGGTCCGGGCAACAAGAGCCCCCAATGGCTCATGGCCTCTGACCAAGGAACCCCACTCCTGAACCACGCACAGAGTAAGTCTTCATTACAATCGTACCAGGACCGCCCCAGCACCCACCGCCAGGAACAGCCCACCCCAGTGGGCACGCGGAACCCGGAGAGCATGAAGAGTGGCAAGTGCAAGGACCTGCCCACATATGTGAGGATGTAAAGGAACCCCCAAACCGAATAAGACAGCAAAGGTAAATATGGGTGCGGACAAGGGTGTCCCTTAAAAACCCCTCAGGGGCCACAGAACGGATGTTCCTTTTTCTTTTTTTAAAAAATATATTTGTATTGATTTCAGAGAGGAAGGAAGAGGGAGAGACAGAAACATCAATGATGAGAGAGAATCATGAATCGGCTGCCTCCTGCATGGCCCCCTACTGGGGATCGAGCCCGAAACCCAGGCATGTGCCCTGACCGGGAATCGAACCCTGACCTCCTGGTTCATAGGCCGACACTCAACCACTGAGCCACGCTGGCCGAGTGAGCAGATGACTTTCTACTTCTAAAGTCAAGTGCACGACTAGATGTTAACCCCCCCCCCGACCCCCACAGCAGCCCCGAGGGCCCTCAAAGGGTCCCCCACCATTTGTCACCCGTGCCCTCACCCAAAACCTTGAGCACCGCATCCCTTCTGCTCTCGCCGGCCAAGTTAGTGGCGACACAGGTGTAGACGCCTTCGTCCCTCAGGTCCACCTTCTCAATCTGGGGCAGGGGAGGCAGAGGTGTGTCACGGGGAGGCGGGGGTTGGGGCACAGGGTCCAGAACCGGAAGTCACTCAGAATGATGCTGGGACATGACAAGTGGCCAGGCTGCGCTGACCCCAGGAGCGGGAGAAGGGAGGCATGGGGACGAGTTTGGCTCTGGGTGCAGTTCTGAACCACACACTTAGACTCCAGGGAATCCCCCTGATCTTGGGGACACTCCCCTTCCCCCCACTTTCTCCCTCTGGCAGTTGAAGCTCTGGGACGTGGACTAGGTTAAAGGTACCTCCCCCCCGCATCTCTTCAGTCCACTGAGAATTCCCAGCTGAATGGGTTCTTTGCTGGGTCCTGCCCCCAGGCTCCCAGGTCCCCTAGAAAGTGGCTCCTCCTTCTATGCAAGGTGCCCCGCTAGCCCTAGGGCCC